GTCCGTAGGTGGATTTTTGACACGGATCTTGCCCGTGTTGAGATTGCGCTGGAACCCCCATTCCCTATACTACTTTCTCGTCAAGAACACAGAGCTCGACGAAACCACTTTGTTTTAAAAAAGCTTTGATCGCATCTAAATTAGGCACTCCCTTATTTGGTTATGTAGTTTCTAACGCTGAACGAACCGCCATACAGTATGTCGTGCAATCGAACTAAAAAGAAATATAACCAGATAACGGTTTTCTAAGAGCTTTTCGCCATTGGTTTGAATAGACAATGTGCACGAGTACGAATCTAGAGCACAAAGCATGATGGGAAACCGAGTACTACACCAATCAGAAGAAGGAAATCAATAAAATTATCAAAAAAATTACTGTTATTTTCATCTGTTGAAACACCGCAAGTACTTGGTTTCCCATCATCCCACGTGCTCGTTGAGATTGTTCTAGACTAAATAGCCAAAAAGACAGAAGCGTTTTCACTTTCAAATTGGTCCGATTTCGATTCGATGAAGATGCAAAGTTCTGCAGCTTAATGGAATTTTTCGTACAAATGGTAATAAAAAWTTTCCGTTCGTCTGTTCGTCTGTTCGGAATAGTCCCTTTCACAGTTCCCTGCGCCATCTTGAAAGGTAGCCGTGCCTTTGCATCGAAGCGAGATGAACGGTGAGCTTGCAATGATAGAGACCTTTTTTAACACCTTGGACAATTATTCACACGTCTCTATCATTGCAAGCTCACCGTTCATCTCGCTTCGATGCAAAGGCACGGCTACCTTTCAAGATGACGCAGGGAACTGTGAAGGGGACTATTCGTCCGATTTTTCACAGCTAATTGGTTGAGGGTTCTAGCCACGAGTCTTTAGTTTGGGGATAGTATCGTGTACGGGGATCGTCAGGGGAATTCTATTCAAAATTGAAATTCCAATATGCAAATTCATTCAGCTAGTAGTCGTACCCTACTGATAGCGTATATTATGCTATAATAAAAAATTTTTTACGCATCACAATAATGAAGCATCGTTTTAAATATAACAAGAATGGAGAACTCGAAAAAAGTTAGTCTTCAATTTCTTTAACTCGTGAACACGCGAAGCGCATAAACGAGTTATTGTTCTTTTCATATTTGGGATCAGAGTATAAATTTTGCATTAAGATATCTCTTTCGGAAAGATCTAATTATATGACATACTCAAGTAGTCAGTAATCTTAATATGAGGAAATTTCTTTGCGTTTTATGTGATTTGATTTTGATGATTTGATTTTTGCTGTTGTTGTTTTTCTTCGAGGGGTTTTTGTTTCATATCAAACTTTCCACATAGAAAAGTTGTCCTTCCGCTCGAGACGTTTCTTTTACCATATAACGAATGTACTTACCATATTTGGAAATTGGAATATAATTTTCTTCACTAAATAGGCGAATTTCTGGCTCAAAACTGCTCAAATTTACAGTAAATCGAGTGAAAACATCACTAACTAGATAGCCATCTTGGTTTTGGCCGAAAAAGGACTGGAAATGTGTAGGGGAGGGGAGCGTGGTTTGTCACCACAGGAAGCCCGCGAACGACAACAATTGTTTGATATGTTTCTTTTTTTTTTTTTTTTTTTTGTTTGTGTTTGTTTTTTGTTTTTTTGTTGTTTTTTTTAAATACTGATATATTATACGAGGCGGTTTTTTTTCTGACAGCTAATTCTAAAAATGTTAATAATTAATACGACGGGCTCTCATTTTGTGTTGAATAGATGACGTCATTAACAGTATGACAATTACCATCATAACAATATCGAGGGGTAAAATTTTTAAAACCAGTGATTAAAAATTTTTCGCTGTACTAAATCTAATTTGAACTTAGTCTATAATTTGTTTAAATCCCTCTAATGATCATATATCATATTCATTCGGCGCCATTTTCAACTAGCTTCAAGGTCTAATAAGATCATCCAGGACGAAACTCTGGTCACTTCACCTCGAAATCTGAAGAAAAAAAACACACATAAATTGCAAGTAAATGACTCACAGGTAATTCAAACTTTTTTTCACAACCCAATAATGTACAAACATCTTGTCAATAATCAGGCATAACTACATAAAACCAACGACAAATACAAGTTACTTTATACGATGACTGTAAAAACTTACGAAAATTTATCGATATTTTTAATTCCAGGCAGTATAAACTTACCTCATTAGTTTGAATAAACTACAAAATAGGACCTGGTTGTAACCTTCAGTAGCTATCCTTCATGAACCAAGAAAAAGTCCCATTCGAATTACGTATGTACTTACGTAAGTAATTAGCCATCCCTAGGTTGAGTAAAACAAAAACAGGCTCACGTTGGCATTGCAGTGAATTTTGGGAAATATTTCAAAGACGGCGTCTATTTCATTCCAACGACCCTCGATTGGCCTGTTTCGTTACCGTTGTAATCGGATAAACAATTCCGGCGCAACTGAAAAAGCTACAGTTTCTAATTTTGCAATTTCTTTCAGGTAAAGATGACTGAATCATCCAACTACTTCGGTTCATTTCAACCATCAGTAACAAAGCCACTGAACACTAACCATACCACCACAAAGCCAAGTATATTCCACCCGAGTGCTATCTCACGAATAGGAAATGGAATCATCCTCACTGCTTCACTTGTATTTGGCATATTAATGAACTCTTTCACGGTATATTTGCTTAGAAAACGCAGCGTACTTAACAAGAGTACCACAACCGTCCTCCTCCATCTGGCCACCTCGGATCTCATTGCATGTTTCGTTGTCATACCAATGCAGTTTGTCTTATTTGTTTCTGGAATCCATCCGCCGCCAGTTTGTTCTACGGCGTATTACATATCATTGAACTTCACGGTACTAGTAGATTGTAGCTGTCRTGTTTTGCTTAGCGTTGATCGATGTTGTTCTGTCAGAGAGGCTCAAATGATTGGCATCCCTGTGTTTTACTTCAAAAAATTGCTTGCGGCAATTTGGGGAGTTGCGATAGGAAATGCAATCCTCACGGCGTTAACTAACCAAGGACGTAACCCTTGGGTTTTTGAAAGGGGGAAGTCTTTAGACGCTGGTACGATTGTGTTATATATATTTATCTGGTTTGCGCTAGCAGCTTTGGTCATAGCTCTGTTCTGTGTTCAGTACACCGTAAAGAAACAAGACGAAGACGCAGGAGAAAATTTCGGAAATTCCAGCTCCAAGAAAAGAAGACAAAAACAGATTAAAGTTTTAAAGTCAACGGCCATCGCAAAGACCAGTGCGATTATTCTGTATTTACCTTTGATGTTGTGTGAATACGTTTATCGTGGATTCAGGCTCCAGAGTCCAAGTACTACATCCTTTTCACATATTTTATTATCCGTGTCTCATGCAATTAACCTGGTGATCTACACAGGAATGAGTAAAAAGTTTCGAGAAGCTGCGTGGAAGGATTTGAAACTGCGCGTAACGAGGGCTAATATTCGCTCCTTACTAACTGATAAACGATCTGCAAGACAACGAACGGACCCTAAAAGACAAACATTTAGCAGTTTTATTGCTAGTAATGACGAAAGGGACTCGTTCAGCGCAAAGGGTAGTGAGGAGAAGAGAGATGAAGACATGTTGAACAGTATCTGTTCAAACGATTCAAGGGATATAGAGTTTTCCAGATAAAATATCAAGTAACAGCGACGACTTGCCTTGTTCAGACAGAAAAAATACAACAACTACCAGTATCATTGATATTGAAAACGTTGATATTGAATCAAAATTGTAGGACTAGATGTAGTAAATTATCACTGCTGACCCACAGCTGGGTCGAGCCCTAAAACAACCTCTGGCTGATCAAAGTCAGGGCACAGCTGACTCACATATAGAACCCTGAAACAACCTCTGGCTGATCAAAGTCAGGGCACGGCTAACTTACATATAGAACCCTGAAACAACCTCTGGCTGATCAAAGTCAGGGCACGGCTAACTCACATCATATAGAACCCTGAAACAACCTCTGGCTGATCAAAGTCAGGGCACGGCTAACTCACATCATATAGAACCCTGAAACAACCTCTGGGCTGATCAAAGTCAGGGCACGGCTAACTCACATATAGAACCCTGAAACAACCTCTGGCTGATCAAAGTCAGGGCATGTCTAACTCACATATAGAACCTGAAACAGCCTTGCTCTGGGCTGAATAAGGTGTTCAGGACACGGTTAACTCGACAGATCAAGTCCTGCAATGATGTGAAAAATCCAGTTCGCTTGCGTTTGATGGCAAGTTCTGGGGTTTTCTTCCCTTCATAGCAATCAAAATGTGTCCTTAGCTTGTGCTGTAAATATTRAATGTAGTTTGGAGTAAGAACACSGTCTTTCGATCTTCAAAGTCTAAATTTACTGTTTATAAATAAACTAAAATTGTCCAAGAAAACAATTATGGTCGCTTGAAAATGTTTAGCATCTAACACGGAAATTGGTCGAAATCTTCTGGGAAAATTATTTTGGGAAAAACATTTTAAAAGTTCTTCATACAATACAACCAAATATTAGGTAATGATTTATTAGAATGAAATATTAAAAAAYTGTAGCAAAAATGACAGGTATTTTGCATATCAAGCAGGTGAGCCCGCGATTCCACCCATAACATCGAACTTGTTTGTAGTTCTAACATCGAAGCGGCATACATAAATAGGATAGGCACTGTCGCCGATACTTGAGCTATAAATAAGACACACTTACGTACCGACTAAGGTAGCAAATTTTTTTCCATGCATTTTTTATAACAAGTAGTTGAACCCGCGGTTTTAAACACAACCGCTGTTTCGTTTCTCAGAGACCACGCATAAATAGGAGAAGCACGCACTGGGACCGAGATCGAGGCTATAAATAGAACACATTCGTACCGACTAAGTAATCATGACGCAATAAACCTTTATATCAAACCTGTTTAACCACAGGTAGCCCAAGCTTGGTTTCTGTGGTGTCCTGTTATAAGGAAATGTATGGGGAATCATCAAAAATTTCAATAAAATCATCAAAACGTCAAATAAAGCCTCGAAATTTTACCCTATCATTGAGAAATAGCACTTCTTTCGCTCTGCGTGGTTATTTTTTGAATTTAGCCCGTTTTAAGGATTTTTTTCCCCCACCAGTAAGAAATAAGAGAAGGTTGGAAACTCGGGATCCAAAAGCGAGCCATCACGASTCTTTGAAACCTCGTACGTCTTCGAATTTTCTTTCCAGCGCCAAATTTTAGTCATGACCCTTCTCTCACATCCCTATAGAACCGAGAAAGTCGCATTAGAGATTAGTGTTCGCGTCTTTAAGCCATGAAATTTGCCTGTATTCACATACTACCTCGCTTGTTCTGACCCGTACTTGGAGCTCACTGTACACCAGTTCAACGGATTTCTTTTGGCAATTTCTTTTGGAAATTTGGCAATTTCTTTTCGAAATTATGGTGAGTGTATTTTTTAATGGCCTAAGATACAAAAGTATTTAACTTATGATTTCGAAAATTATGGTGAGTGTACTTTTTAACAGCCTAAGATACAAAAGTATTTAACTTATGATTTCGAAAATTATGGTGAGTGTATTTTTTAACAGCCTAGATACAAAAGTATTTAACTTATAATTTCGAAAATTATGGTGAGTGTATTTTTTAACGGCCTAAGATACAAAAGTATTTAACTTATAATTTCGAAGAAATACGATATCCAAATCGAATCCGCATTTACGATACGAAGACTTCCGGCGTGACCTCGGGTCGGTTGCCGAAAGAAATCCGTTGAACTGGTGTACAGTGAGCTCCAAGTACGGGTCAGAACAAGCGAGGTAGTATGTGAATACAGGCAAATTTCATGGCTTAAAGACGCGAACACTAATCTCTAATGCGACTTTCTCGGTTCTATAGGGATGTGAGAGAAGGGTCATGACTAAAATTTGGCGCTGGAAAGAAAATTCGAAGACGTACGAGGTTTCAAAGACTCGAAGTTTATAACTTGCACCATCTAGGATATTGAAATCAGGTTTGTACAATTTTTTTAAAAATTTTTATCCAAGAGTCTTAATTTATAAATGATTCATTGAAGTGATATATAAACAAATTATCTTCTCTCTTTATTTCTTTTGGATGTAAACTATTGCGATTTAGATTCAACTCACGAATAAACAAAAGTAAATTGAAGAAATATTTTTGATAATTTGACGTCATTCGAGCTGATTCAAATTAACCATTTATCGTAATGTGATTAAAAGAAACAGCTTTCATACCGATTTTTAGTATCACCAATTCTAGATCAGGTTTTAATTATCAATCGCTTATTTCCTATATTGATACAAATAAGTTAGTGGTTGTTATTCAGTGAGGAAGGAAATGCAAACTATCAACATRATCAAAGAACCAATGATTTAAAAAAAAAAATCATTACGTGTTAAAAAGAAGTTACATTTTGTTTTACTTGGATATTGATTTTTCAACGCCATTATGATTTTAAAATCATTTCCCTTGACCTCATTACCAAGTTTGAAATTAAATTTTCTGCATTTATTTATTCAACATTTAAGAAAATTCAATGACTTTTGCTAATTGGTCGTGACATCGTCATCGAAATAACAAATTTAATTGGAGAAAATTTCGTGGCGCAATTCAAGCGAAAGCAGTATTTTAACGTCTTCAGAAATCGTTTTGATAGTTCAACGGAAGTTTCACTTTATAAATATCGAATTTTATTCAAAAACCGTTGGTAAAATACATTGAAAGAAATGGAAAAATTTATAGTTTTCAATTCATTATTGATATAATCAAAAACTAATAATTGAGTTCGGTGTCCGTCCGCCGGTACTGACTGACGTGAGGTGCTAAGTGGTTCCAAAAGATAAACGAATTATCCTAATCATATTTGCTGTCGAAAAATCTTGACCAATTTTTTT